GGGGGGGGTGGTAGAGGAACATATATTTTACTATCTAATAAAAAGGGGGTTGTGAGAGTGTCATAAAACACACTCTTGTCTGAGTGCTTTATATTGGATTCCAAATTTTTCCTGAAAATCCCATTTTATTTATTAAAATTCTAACACACAAATATATAGCATTGAATTAGTATATTGGGGATACAGTCATGATATAAAATTTACTTACTTGGGAAAACCTGTTTGTCACATTATTATAAAATATGTAAGTTGAGTTCAGATGCATCATAATCAAATGTTTTTTTGCATATGAATACAAATAAAGTTAAAAGTAAAAAAACTTTGTTGTTCAACTTCAAAGAAGTTTAAAGGACTTTTGAAACCTAAAGAACTGCAGTGAACTATAAAGAGCTGGTTTTGACTAAAACTGTATAATTGTTTTTGATAGAAACGAAAACATCTCCCCGTTGATTATAAACAGTTTTTTTTTAAATTGAGGCTTTTATTAACTTAGCCACCTGCCATTTCTAGGTTTACATTTTAATTAATTTTTCGTTATTTCTAAAGAATTCAATGAATGGAATACTTGTGTAGTTTAATCATAACTTCCATATTTTATTGAATACTGCTGTACAGGGTACCATCTTTAACTACTAGCTCCCAACAATATGAAAATCCTAACTAACTTTTACAATTAAAAGGATTGATTTTTAGTTTAAGAAAGTTAAAATATCCAAAATTATTGGGGTTGCTTATAGTATTTGTAAAAATATTAACTAACTTTGTAAGCATAGCATCATAGCCTCCAACCTCAACCATAGCAAAGGACATAACTATAAATGCTCCGCAGACCATTAATATTGTTTGGAAGAAATCTGTCCAAATCACAGCAGTTAGTCCTCCTCCTTACAAAATTCAGTAAAAGTAAGTTTAAATAATTATTTTTATAAATGATTATTAATTTGAATATAAAAACAGCTTTGTGTATACAGACATATTTACCTATACTAAAGCATCCAGCTAGCAGCAGTAGAACAATTATAGAAATATAAAGTCCTTCCTCTCCCTTTATAAATACATAAATATATATATATACTTTATATTCTGGGTGTTTGTTTGGGTGTTTAGGTGTCTGTCTTTTTTGTCTGTTTGTATCCAATAAACGTCAAAACAGAAACAGCTGAAGCGTTTGGGCACACATTTTGTGAGGAAGGTTTATGGATGATTAAAGCGTCAAAAAGTAACCAACAACAAAATTTTATTTTTATTAAATTTTGAAAATCCACGAAATTTTTTTTAATCTGCAAATTTAAAAAAATTGTTTCAGGATGTATTCAAAGAGAAAATGTTCACAATTGAAGATGGGCGCAAAGTGCCCTAAAAGCCTAGTTCATTTAAAAAAGCGAAGCAAAAATGAGAAACATTCAGTTAAACCCTAAATGAGCCATGCATCGAAAGAATTTATCAAATGTCGTCTTGACAATTTTTTTATGGGTTTTATATTTTTTTACGTAAATCTCAGTATTTGCGAAAATAAATGAACAGCTATGAATATGCAGGAACAGTTTTAAATTAGTTTTAATAAAAAAAACTAAATATCTGCAACATTCCATTATCAAAAAGTGAAGAATACGACATTTGATGAATTCTTTCGATGTATGGCTTATTTAAGGTTTAACTGTAGAAAAATACACGCCAAATTGAGACATGAAAGCACAAGTTTATTTTTTTTAAGGTTTTTAAAATTTAAACCTAAGATCAAACTTTAGCATATTTTAAATCTGTTCCTATAACATGGTAATTCCCCCTTAGCATAATTTGATTTTTTAGAGCTCTTTGCGACACTTTTTCTAGTAATAATTTAGATTTTATATCTTGTATGCAATGCCTAAGCCATCATTTATTTCTTCGTCCATGGTGTTGGTTTGGCCGGATTTAATGTAAAATAAACCTGAAGCCCAAGAGCAAACTTGATGTATAAAGCCCCAGAATACAAATCAATCTAAAAATGTTAAAACATAAACGGAATTTTTTTTAATGATTTAAATTGTTTTCGATCAAGCTGATCAGTGATCAGTTCAGTACTTTTTTCTTTTCCAAATCTGTTTTTAAGGGCTTTAATCCTCTTTAATATTTAAACCTTTTCACATTATATATATTATATTATTGACCCTATTTTAATATGACCCCCCCCCCCCATCGTTTTTGCTGTTGTAAGCATAAAAAATATTTGAGCTGGGAAGCTCAAATTTTCTGACTTTTCTAACTAGCACTTGCCCCTATCTTACAGCTAAAAGCTTTTATACCCACCACCTGAGTCCTTGCATTAATCCCTTATTTTACCTCTACTAGATTAAATCTATATATTTGGACCTACTTCCAGTCATTGGATTTCAATATTTTCTAGCTCTTTAGAAAGCGATATTTTAGAAGGTAAAAAACCCCCAGCTTCTAGTCTAAAGCATTTGTTATATAGAAAATTCCATTATTTTTTTCGAAAGCTGGTCTGTTAACCCTTTTTCGACTGACGTCTGGTTTACCCAAAATAGACAGGGGCTCCTCATCCTCCCAAAACAAGTTATTTAGCAAAAAGTGTGAAAAAAACAAATATTTCGCGAAATATGAAAACAAAAAACGTGTATTCAAGAAAACTAAAATTGTGCAAATTCCCCTTAAAGGCGTCTGTGCAAAAACCCACGCAAATTTTCTTTGCAGAAATTGTGGAAACTTTAGAGATTAGAAAATCAGAAATCCTTTCAGTTATTGCACCTCGTGGCTTCTATATCTTGACTCTTTGGCTTTTATATAACAAGAGGGTGGGGGGAGGTTTGGCGTAAACCCCCTCCAGATGTAGAACCCTATATATAGTCTTTGTAGGGTTAAGCTGGATCGTAAATTTGTCATTTTTATTCTCACCAAAATCAATCCTTGAGTTAACAATTATTTCTTTATAAAATCAGACTATCAAGGTGTCAACTTGTTGTTTTATATTGATTGAAATACAAATTATAAAATGTTGTAAATTAAAGTAACCAATTATTTAGTAAATAAATGAATTGTTTGTAGGCCAAGGGACTTTTAACTGTCATTAGGTTTGCTATGGATAGGAAAGCTTATGTTTAAATTATTCTTCAGTATTTGTTTAATTCAAGCGAAGAAATACAAACTGAGATTTTGGTGAATATGTAGAGAAAGAGCGTGAAAATTGAGAGAACTGTTCGTATTCTTTGGCCTCCAAACCTGTAAATAACAAAAAATACATCAGTCCCAAACTGTAGTACAGCCCTCTCCTAACTCTAGTCCTAGACTGCAGTACAGCCCTCTACTAACTCTAGTCCCAGACTGCAGTACATCCCTCTCCTAACTCTAGTCCCAGACTGCAGTACAGCCCTCTCCTAACTTTAGTCCCAGACTGCAGTACAGCCCTCTCCTAACTCTAGTCCCAGACTGCAGTACAGTCATTCTCCTAACTCTAGTCCTAGACTGCAGTACTGCCATCTCCTAACTCTAGTCCCAGACTGCAGTACATCCCTCTCCTAACTCTAGTCCCAGACTGCAGTGCAGCCCTCTACTAACTCTAGTCCCAGACTGCAGTACAGCCCTCTCCTAACTCTAGTCCCAGACTGCAGTACTGCCATCTCCTAACTCTAGTCCCAGACTGCAGTACATCCCTCTCCTAACTCTAGTCCCAGACTGCAGTGCAGCCCTCTACTAACTCTAGTCCCAGACTGCAGTACAGCCCTCCTAACTCTAGTCCCAGACTGCAGTACAGCCCTCTCCTAACTCTAATCCCAGACTGCAGTACAGCCCTCTACAAAATGTGAGGTCTGGACCAAATCTGCAAAGTTTTCTTGCTTAAAGTTTTAAGAAATATAAATATTTAAAAAATTTTAAACACTGAGTGTCTTATTAATTAAAACCACAAATGTGCAATTTTACTGACTTTCCAGAGAGCTCTGAAATGTTGAAATCCAATGACCAGAAGTAGCTCTAAATACATTGCTTGGTATTGGTAAAACAAGTTATTCAGGCAGTAGATTTAACCCTATCTCTAACTCAAAAAGAATATGTCTGGCTGTTCTGATTTTTTCATTTTTTTAATGAAGACAAGCCCCTTAACATTGTGTCCAAATAATATTATTTCTAGTAAAAACTTGAAAATACCTCAATCTAAGATATTCAGGCATGGTATAAATTCCTTAATTCATTTTATTAAATTATTTTCTTGATTTGTTCAGAAAGAAAGTTCTAGAGATGCATATAAAATATTTAGTTTTTCGTTTGGTTTTTTTACTGATCAGTGATCGCACAAGAATATGATTATCTCTTATGGCATTGTTGAAATTGTTTAAAAATGGTAAACAATCATTTTCATTTGTTATTTGCCTTATCTGTTAGGTCAGAGTTTAAATACAAAAAAAAATAATCAGTTAATTTCTCCTAATTATCATGAATATTAATTATTTACAACTACTTTACAGGAAAGTTAAGAGAATTTTACTTTACCAAGGGTTCCCAAGACCAATTTTATCGCCTTTTGATATGAAAATGCGAGAATTTTTTCATGAATACTTGGTAGACCCCAGAGCGGGTGGTTATTTTACTTGATTGTCCCAAGGGACGTAAAGTAACTTAACGTCCCTCTGTTGGGGGAATCATAGGTTGGTAATGTTGGTCAAAGGACGGTAAAAATAATAAATATTTGTTAAATTTAAGAATTCCTGAAGCTAGGTAGACAGGTACAAAGAACCAACCAAGAAGCATCAAAATAAAGATAGCGTTCATCTCATATGTTGCAATTGCTATTCCTGAAATTGTAAATAGTCTGAGGCCGAATTTGAAGAATTTAAATTGCGTCGCTAAACTGCCAAAAACCGGTTCCAATTGAGTGCCGGCTCAAATCTCGAAACACTGAATACAATTTCAAGTGAAACCAACCATGTTTGAGCCGCGTTTCAAATTTGAGACGCGGCTTAAATTCTCTAAATTCGACCTCTTAGAATGTTTTCTTCAAATGTTACTCCCAATTTTACGATCTTGGGTATAAAAAGTTATTTGTTCCAAGGCAAACAAGTATCATTCTATACCGGGAAAGCATTAATATCATTTTGAAATATGTTTTTCTTTGGTTTTGAGTTTTGCTTTTTCGTTTAAACGAACAAAGTTAAAATAAAAAAACATATTGTCCCAAATGATAACTCAAAACAATTGCATAGATAAATATTCTATACTGCTTGTCCCAACCCTGGTTCTTTAATAAGGTTTTTACTCTCGACGCGCTCCCATGAACGGAAAATTTCGTTTCCTAAGATAGATAGATATAACCCTAATATGATGTCACTGATTATAGAGGCGAGAGTGACGTCATATTAGGTTTTTATCTATTTATCTCAAGAGACGACATTTTCCGGACATTGGAGTGCATCGAGAGCAAGCAACCTTGCTAGCTTACGTACTTAAACTGCAAAGTTTATAAGCTAATAAAAAAGTTATTGAGAATAGAGAATAGAGAATAATAAAGTTAATAAAAATGAATGTAATATGATTTTTACAAATCTTAGGAATTGGGAAAATTTATCAGTTTGATTAATAATATTTTCTCCTGAATGAAAAATATTTTCCAAATTTCTTTTACCATATTGATACACATGTATTTTTTTATTGATAAACTATAATTTTCTCCCTAACATATTCAAGTCTAAATGTACATAAAATACATAATGTATTGTGAACCCATCCAAGGGTTCATCCATATAGTATCATATAAGTTCATTGCTCCCAGTTGGAGAAATAAAGCAAAACAAATGCAACCTAAGAATAAAGCCAACTAATCCAGATGCAGTCCAAAGGGTATTAAACCCCGAGAATGTTTTCAGCCTTAAATACATTACACTGTAGGCGGACAAGGGTATTGAACCCCCTTTCTTATCTAGAGATAGCAAGTCGGTCACATTGAAAGAGCAGTTTAAAGCTAGGCTTGGCCAGGGTAAGATTGATGCTGGAAAAGGGAGTGAAACAGCATCTATCTTGCCGGCAAAGAAAGCAGATTGTCGGCCATCTTATCCCCAGGGTCCCCCAGGACTCGGCAGTCAGCCCAAAGGATCTGATAAGAAGAGTCGAATGGAAATATATTCGCCCCAGGCGAATGTCATGTTTATTGAGATCAACTTTAGTCGGTCCAACACTAATTGTTTGTATAATGATAATATAACATAAAGTTTGTGTGCAACCATGCAATGTTTTTCCACTCAATCTTGGCTTTTTATTGCTGAATTCTTTTCAAGTCCATAGTATAAACATATCACTCTCCACTAAAACCCATTCTTTCTTCGGTAAGAGTACTGCAAATCACTGCACTGCAGTACACACCAAAAAGTTGATATTTACATTGTCAAATATATTAGCATAAATATTGATTTATACTGCAATAAATGTTCGTCAATCAGATTATTTTCAGTGATAATAAATTGATATTGATTTATACTGCAATAAACCAAAATGATCCGTAAGCTTTCAAACAAAAATCGCTGAGAATTTTGCAAATTACTTCACAAAACAGTAAAGCTAAAAACAACTTCTTTTCATATCTGAAATTCATATGTCTAGGGCTCCAAAAAAGTGAGTTGGTGAGGTAAAATCAAAGGCCAACTTGATGTGACACTTTAAAGTTTACCCAGTCTCGAAAATTAATGCAATCTATGTGAAACGAGACACACACAATCGTTTCGTTATGAAAACGACAACGAAACATCGAAAAACGAAACGATCATTTTAAAAACGATTGTTTTATTAAAAAGTTTGTTTTTTAAAAAGAGTTGGTTTTAAAACGATCGTTAACGATGACCCTTCGTTAACAACGAGAGTAGGAGAGAGGAAACCTGAAACCTGAAGGGCTTTGGGACTTATCATTGAGTATTTTCAGATAAAATATCAAGAAGTTTTAGCTTCCCCACAACTTTTTAACCTCATGTAAAACAACATTCTATAAAGTTGCAGGTAATTTTGTTTGTTGTTTTGTTAACGATCGTTGATGAAGACCCTTCCTTAACGATCGTTAACATATCGAAAAATGTTTTATTTTAAAAACTATCGTTTTTGTAAAAACAATCGTATAAAAACCGTCGCTAATCGTTTTTATGAAGCGATCATTTTCAATAACAATCGTTTTTCGTTTTTTAAAATAAAAAACAAGTGGGTCGTTTTTGAAAACGGTCGAAAACGAAACAAAACGATCGTTTATTGATTGTTTTAAAAAACGATTAACAACCCTAGCTGAGAGCTATTTGAAGAAAAAAATTATTAAAACAGTCATTTGACCGAAAAATATTTTTTTCAATATATCCATAGGGGTATCAAAAGATCCGTCTTAAACACTGAATTAAGAAAAAGTTGATTTCACAGGAATTTAAACCAGTTGTACCTGAAGCAGCTCCAGATCCAGCCAGCCCTGAAAAATATTTATTTTTGGGTTAAAAACTCTACAAGAGTAAATAGCTAGAGGGTGCCCACTTCAAATGTTTAAGCAACGTAATTTCAATTTAGAAACTATTTTCTCAAAATTTCATATTCCTGTATTTTGAGTTTCGGGGGACAAGTTTGAGTAATAAGTGAATCTATATAATAAAGTTCTTTGCTCATATATATATATGTATATATATGTTAGCTATAGCTGGTCAAATGGCTGGACCAAATAGGCTGAAATTCTAAATTTTTTGATTTTCAAAAATTGTTTACTTCAAAATTCTAAAAAAAAATATTTCACGGGTAACACTGGGCACTAGCTAGTATTTTTTAATGTATTAGTAATAGTAGTGTAGTTAATTGCTTATTTCATTTGAAAATAAGAATTGCTTGACAAAAACCAGTAAAAGCGCTGACTTGAAAAATAAAGTAAAATAGAAACTTTTGTATTATTCAATACTTACCGATTAAATGTTCTGAACCAACATTACTAGAGAATAGGGATCCACCAACAAGCATCCAGTTCATGTTTCTTAAATAGATATATTATACAAATACAGGAAATATAAATTAAATTAAACAAATACATGGAAATATAAAATAAATTATACAAATACAGGAAATATAAAATAAATATACAAATACAGGAAATATAAAATAAATTATACAAATACAGGAAACATAAAATAAATTATACAAATACAGGAAATATAAAATAAATTATACAAATACAGGAAATAAAAAATGAATTATACAAATACAGAGAATATAAAATAAATTATACAAATACAGGAAATATAAAATAAATATACAAATACAGGAAATATAAAATAAATATACAAATACAGGAAACATAAAATAAATTATATAAATACAGGAAATATAAAATAAATTATACAAAAACAGTAAATATAAAATAAATTATACAAATACAGAGAATATGAAATATATTATACAAATACAGGAAATATAAAATAAATCATACAAATACAGGAAATATAAAATAAATTATACAAATACAGGAAACATAAAATAAATTATACAAATACAGAGACTGTAAAATAAATTATACAAATACAGGAAATACAAAATAAATTATACAAATACCGGGAATATAGAAAAATTATACATATACAGGAAATATAAAATAAATTATACAAATACGCAGAATATAAAATATATTATACAAATACAGGAAATATAAAATATATTATACAAAACCAGGAAATTTAAAATAAATTATATAAATACGGGAAATATAAAATAAATTATACAAATACAGGAAATATAAAATAAATTATAAAAATACAGGAAATATAGAATAAATTATACAAATACAAGGAATTTAAAATAAATCATACAAATACAGGAAATATAAAATGAATTATACAAATACAGGAAATATAAAATAAATTATACAAATACAGGAAAAATAAAATAAATTATGTAAATACAGGAAATATAAAATAAGTTATACAAATACAGGAAATATAAAATAAATTATACAAATACAGAAAATATAAAATAAATCATACAAATACAGGAAATATAAAATAAATCATGCAAATACAGGAAATATAAAATAAACTATACAAATACAGCAAATATAAAATAAATTATACAAATACCGGAAATATGAAATTAATTATAAAATACAGGAAATATAAAATAAATCATACAAATACAGGAAATATAAAATAAATCATAAAAATACAGGAAATATAAAATAAATCATGCAAATACAGGGAATACAAAATAAATAATGAAATACAGGGAATATAAAATTAAATAATGAAATACAGGGATTATAAAATAAATAATGAAATACCGGGAGGCTAAAAAGAATCCGGAAACGCTTCCTCGTCTGGTTGCCCTGGAGGCTAGAAACCCTACTCCTATTAGAGCTAAAAGAAAAATATTATTGATTGATTGGAATATCCATCCCACCCTACCCTTGACCCAATAAATCCATCCCACCCTCCCCTTTGGCCCAATAAAATCGCATCAATATCCATTATTTACAAATATCTATATTTTGAAATAAAAGAAATATTTTGTGTTTTTCAATTCATAATTCAAACGTTATTTATTAACAACTCCTTTCTTTAGAAATTTATTGGTCTGTTTGCAACAATTTTCCATTTGTCAAATATCTTGTTTTTAACAGCGTTACCAAAAGATATTCATAAAAAATTAATTCACTTGTCTTCACCGTTAACCCTATTCCAAGTTTCCAACCTGGGGGGGGGGGTTAACCCTTCTTCTAAATATGTATATTGATAGTGAGTCATGGTTTCTTTAATAGCAATCCTACCTAGAAAGTAAATAACAACAATAACAATATCTGGAGTTGAGAGTCCACCATTCTTCAATATATTCTCCACTCTGCTTAGGTTCTCAGATTCCATTATAAAATAAATCTGAAACCTTTAAAAATTTCTTAATTATATTGGCAGTTTCCTAAATTATATTGACAGTTTCTTAAATTATATTGGCAGTTTCCTAAATTATATTGGCAGTTTCCTAAATTATAATGGCAGCTTCCTAAATTATAATGGCAGTTTCATAAATTATATTGGCAGTTTCCTAAATTATATTGGCAGTTTCAAAATTATATTGGCAATTTCATAAATTATATTGGCAGTTTCATAAATTATATTGGCAGTTTCCTAAAATTTCCCTTTGAATAACAGTTTTCCTTAAAATCTGTATTAAACTTATTTCTACCCTGGGGGGGGGCATTAAACCATGTATGAATAAAATGCCTTTTTTCGACTAGGTGGGTGGTGAGCTTAGTAAAGGTCGGAGAAAGTTATGAATGCCAGAAACAAGCTTAAAACAAATGATTTAATGAGAATCGATACCCATATTGTATACCATGCGCAAAGAATAATCAAAGAGTGGGGATGGGGTCTCTTTAAAAACTGCTTCAAGGGTGGGGGTTGGGTCTCTCTAAAAATAGACGGTAGTTGGGGTAGTAAGGGTAGTTGCCATTCAGATTCAGCTTCAAAGGTGGGGGTGGGGTCTCTCTAAAAATAGACGGTAGTTGGGGTAGTAAGGGTAGTTGCCATTCAGATTCAGCACCCAACTACCTTCAGTTATTAAAGAGACCCCACCCCCACTCTGTGTTTATTCTATGCGCATGGTGTACAATATAGGTATCGATCGTTGGAATCGATTCTCATTAAATCAATTGTTTTAGGCTTGTTTCTGGCATTCATTACACTCTCCGACCTTTACTATCCTCACCACCCACCTTCTGAAGGGTGCACATTTCGTAGTAAAAAAAGGCATTTTATACGTTCACATTAAACCCCCTCTATATCTTTATTGTGATACATTTTTTCAAACGCCCTTGACCCAGCAAATTTAAATACACAAAAATATTTGCAAAAGTTTTAAAACTTTAATAAGTATTTAAGAATTGCTAATACACTATGCAGCTAAATTGCTACTACTATATATACACTATGCAGTTAAATTGCTACTATATATTCACTGTGCAGTTAAATTGCTACTACTATATATACACTATGCAGGTAATTCACTGTGCAGTTAAATTGCTACTACTATATATACACAATGCAGTTAAATTGCTACTACTATATATACACTATGCAGTTAAATTGCTACTATAAATTCACTGTGCAGTTAAATTGCTACTATATACTCACTGTGCAGTTAAATTGCTACTACTATATATACACTATGCAGTTAAATTTCTACTACTATATATTCACTCTGCAATTAAATTGCTACTAATTAGTATACACAATGCAGTTGAATTGCTACTCTTATTTATACACTATGCCGTTGAATGGCTACTACTATATATTCACTGTGCAGTTAAATTGCTACTACTTTATATACACTATGCAGTTAAATTGCTACTACTATATATTCACTCTGCAATTAAATTGCTACTCTTATTTATATCGTTGAATTGCTACTACTAAGTATACACTATGCAGTTGACTTGCTTCTATACTATGTATTAACTATACAAATATGCTGTTAGAAGCTAATAATAAACTGAATACAATGGAAGGATGTTTGTAAAGAAGATTAAATATAAACTGTGAATTGCATATATTATATATATCATGACACTGGGAGGTTTATAAAAAAAAGGAGAAAGGTCAGAAGAATGTAAAAATTGCAGTTTTTGTTTTAACAAATAATAGGATGTGGCACATGTATTTAACCCTCGGGGTCTGAATATCTATACATGGGCATAGTGTTGAATTGCATGTTTATAGTCCAAATTTTATCAAGGCCAGCTCATTGAAAAAAATTAGACCTCGACCTTTATTATTTAAGTAACCCTGGGACAATATGATTTTTTTAAATCACAAGCACACAGCAAAAATTGTTCATTTAAACTTACAAAACAGCCAATATACATTCAGCTTTCAGAGAAGTGACAACTGGGTCTTGATAGGCGCTTCTAACAGTTTTCAGGGTGAGAGAGAGAAAATGGCAAACTAGAGAAACTTTAGTCAGCGGCGTATATGTGGGTATAAATCGTTTAACACTGTATTAACCTGGAGAATGGAGGTTTTTTACCTAGCTGGATCCAGATTTTGCTACTGACAGCTTTAAATTTACACCTTAATAACAAGCCTGGTTAGTTGTTATTAAGTATCCGAACCTGTCAGAAAGAAGTTGATTCTTTCGATTGAATCTGGTTCTATGTGTAAGCATCAAGGAAACTCAGAACAGTTAGGTTCTTGTACAACTCTCTCCAGTTTCTTGTTGCTAAACAGAACCCTGTGTGGAATACAATGGCAGTACACCCCACTTGGAAAAAAAGCAAATAATAGAGCAGAAAAGGAGGGGTTTCTCTATTCTTCTCTTCCCCCTCCCTCTTGCCAGAAACAAGGAAGATGGAAACATATAAAGTAGAATCCTGATAGGTTGTGCACCATGCACTATGATAACGGTTTACATCGCTGACTGCAAGGAAAAGATAGTTGTAGACGAGACCGTATTCTGAACCACTGTCCCAAGAATCAAGAATTCTTTGGTTGAAAATCTCCACTCCTTTCCAAACCTTTCTTATCCCATTTGTCATAATTAAGGTGAAATTCTGACAATGGATATCATCAGAATTTTCAAACCTCGCTTAACAATGTGACTTTTATTTTTCCAACCTGTAAGAAAAAAATCTCCATTTCACATCTTACAGAAAATATTGAGGAATATTTATTTGAAGGCCTGACCTTCAATCATAGTCAGACATTCCTGGATAAGCAATAAAACTGAAAATTACAAATACATACTACAATATTGGAGAGAAAGAAAATCAGAAAAAAAGTATAAAATGCATTTTTCACTTGTCTACAAGAATGCGTAGATCTAAAAGAGAGGAACAGATGTATGATCAGCTAAAAAGAAGATACGACAGTCAAAGAAAAAAATTCACTGCCCTTTTTAAATTTTGTTTAAAAAATTTTTTAAAAATAAATTGTTAAAAAACTTATAAAAAACAGTCTGAAAATGTTTTTTCCGATTTTTAAAAAATGGGTCAGCGAGCGCAAACATTTTTAAAAATCATCAATCACTGAGTGAAGTTGATTTTTTCATTTTTTCGAAACATGTAGATAGGGATGTAAACGTTTTCATTTTTCAGAAAAACGATCGTTTCGTTATGATAACGACGACGAAAAATCGAAAACGAAACGATCGTTTTTAAAAACGATCGTTTTTTAAAAAGTTCGTTTTTTTAAAAATGGTCGTTTTTAAAACGATCGTTTTTCAAAACGCTCGTTTTTAAAAACGATCGTTTTTCAAAACGATCGTTTTTATAAAATTCGTCGTTTTGTTAACGACGGACCTTCGTTAACGATCGTTAACGACGACCCCTTCGTTAACGATCGTTAACAACGACCCCTTCGTTAACGATCGTTAACGACGACCCCTTCGTTAACGATCGTTAGTTCGTCGTTTCGTTAACGATTGTTAACGACGACCCTTCGTTAACGATCGTTAACGACGACCCTTCGTTAACGATCGTTAACATAATTGTCAATAAAAAAAATTTCAAAAACGATCGTTTTTTCATAAACGATCGTTTTTTTAAAAACAATCGTATAAAGAACGATCGTAAATCGTTTTAATAAAAACGATCGTTTTCAAAAACGATCGCTATTCGTTTTCTAAAAGTTCAAAACGAGTGGGTCGTTTTTAAAAACGATCGTTTTTTTCTGAAAACGAAACGATTGTTTTTGAAAACGAAACAAAAAACGATCGTTTAACGATCGTTTACAAAAACGATTAACAACCCTACATGTTGATATAGGTATCTAAAGTTACGCTAACCACTGAATATTGCTCAGTAAAAAAAAAACTCTGGCTTTCAACTGAATATTGCTCAGTGAAAAAACTTCAACTTAAAATGTTCGTTTTTTGCCTATAACTTTTTATAATTTTTGAGATTTTAACATTTTTTAATTCAGTGTTTTAAGGCGAATTTTTGGTACCATATCGATCGACATATCTTGAAAAAAATATTTTCGCTTGCAGTAATGAATTAATATTTACAAAAACGTATTACGTTGAATGAATTTTGAAAAAAAAAATTTGAGGGTAAGTATTTTTTTCCTTTTATTATAGAAACGCTGAAAGGATCTAAACATTTGTATTAAAAAAAATGCCAAATGGTCCCATCCTTAATTTAAGTTACTAGGGAGGATTGAAAAAGATTGCCGAAAAAGGGTCGGAAAAATGTAAAACTAAATTTTTAGTTTTGAACAAATATCAAAATGTGACACATGTGACACGCCCCCACCCCCTGTTTAGGTTAAACATCTGTCAATAGAATATCAAAAAGATGATGGGCTATTTTAGATCTTTGTTGTGACCCAACATCCTGTAGCCTACCATGCATGAAAAAAAAATTATAGGGCAAAAAAACTAGAGGGTTTAAGGTTAACATTTAAAGTTAGAAAAATATGAACGAATTTAATTTGGAAAAACTTCTGTTTAGTAACTTTTATACTAGTTGATTTAGTTACTACATATTACTACCATCTTACTACCAAATGACTATTCCTAAATATTAATTCTTCTCTATTCAGGATGGATCTCAGAAGAGAAAACTCCACTGGATAAACTGATAACTACTATTAGACCAAATAAACTAAATTTTAAAATAACCTTCTTTCTTTCATTAAATCTAAGACATTTTATTTATTTATACTTAATCAACGTCGCCTTGATGTTAATTGCCACGCGGGACTTTATTCGTTGATTATTTCTTACGGCTTAAGTTAGGCCTTGGTTCAGTGAAAATTCAATTGAAAAGACTTATGCTATAAATGGATAGGACATATATTGAAAACTTATAACGGATCTTATGCTGAATTAACCTTGTTTCAATGTTACGTTATTCATGTCATGTATTTATGGAAATGAAGCGGACCTTGATCTATATGATGGAGATGGAAGTTCAGAAGATTGGATTCCTTGAGAAATGAAATATTCATAAATGGATATCAAATAATTTGAATTATGGTTTCCTAAAATTTCTAAGTTCAAGACCCTCATAGTAAGGCAGCTATTTTCTAACACTTATAAGTCCTCTTATTGGAAATGATTATTTTCTAAGTCCAACCCCCTTTTAATTTCTCTAGAAGCATTTCGATTTATTCTAAGTATTATCTCTATGTTAGGAAATATTTATCAATGATTGTCAAATACTTTAATATTATGATTTTACTAACATTTCTAAGTTCAAGACAGTCCTATAATTTTGTTCTGAACAATTGTTTCTAAGACATGATACCTTATGGTTATGTTAACTATTTCCTCCAATATTTAAGTCCTATAAGTATTATCTATAAGTTAAGAAGATGTAAATCAATCAATCATTTATTTTCTAAGTCCATATTAGTCAAATCAATTTTAAATACAAGTCCAAATCACACTGTGGTTCAAAATATAGTACTTATGAATTTAAATTACATTACAACAGATTATAAAGTGACCTAATATATATGAAAGAGCTTACCCATGATATGAAGACCGACTGGAGGAGATGTTTCCGCTTTGGAAGTAATTACTAGACTGAAGAAACCAGGAATCTGGCTTCCTTATATACTGGAGGGAATTTCGCCACGTTACGATAATCAAAAAGAATATCAAGGATCTACGACATTGGGTTGCAAAGATATTGGGATCAGAAAAACAGAGTTTGTGGCAAAGACTTAATTCCTTTGTATCTGTCCCCCCCCCCTACACTCACACACACACCTTACCTTTTCACTGACAATATAATAATTGTACAAATTTGCATTCCAACAGGCATTTTTGAACTGAATAATATGAATATAAATGCATTGACTCTCTTTCCTCCACTCTTTAATGATCTCAATTTTTGTCAATAATCTAGTTTCTTATTAATAATCTAGTTTTTTAATGATTAGCTTCTTGCTAATAATCTAGTATCTTGTTAATAATAAAGTTTCTTGTTAATAATCTAGTATCATGTTATTAATCTAGCTTCTTTTTAATAATCTAGTATCTTGTCATTAATCTATTATCATGTTAATAATGTAGCTTCTTGATAAAAATCTAGTTTCTTATTAATAATCTAGCTTCTTACTAATAATCTAGTATCATGTTAATAATCTTGTTAATAATCTAGCTTCTTGTTAATAATCTGGTATCTTTTTAATAACCTAGTTTCTTGATAATAATCTAGCTCCTTGTCAATACTCTAGTTTCTTGTTAATAATCTAGTATCTTGTTAATAATCTAGTATCTTGTTAATAATCTACTATCTTGTTAATAATCTAGTATTTTGATAATAATCTAGTATCTGTTAATAATCTAGTATCATGTTAATAATCTATACATTGATCAGGAAAGGTTTAACAACCTGAACAAGATTATCGTTATAAAAGTTTATGGAACACTTAAAAACACAAAATGTTTCATATTATTGTTTCCGACACAAAATAGTTCCAAACATTATATTTCCAAAAACAAGTGTTTCCTAACATAGTATTTCCGACACAGAATGTTTCCTAGGACACTTTTTCCGACGCGAAATGTCCCTTCAACTGTATTTCTGAGACAAATGTTCTTCTGACACTATTTCCGACGCAAAATGTTTTTGAACAATATATTTCCGAAATTAAATATTTCATATTATATTATTTATTGAATTTTCCGAAAGCAAAGCTAACCTGAAAAACTACTTCTGACACAAAATGTTTCCTAACATTATATATATTTCCGAGATTTAAGACACCAGTAATAAGGTGTATAGAAATAAACGTTTATCAATCAATCAATCAATATATTTCCGACACAAATTGCTATTTTACGTCGAATTTCCGAAAACAATTCATTTTGCCAATATTGTGATTATTCATCAAAAACATTTGTCCAAGCTTAAAATTTAATTCTTTCATAATTTATTTCAATTTTTTTCAAATTTATTTTTTCCCTTTTTATAAAATAAAATGCTACGAGGAATAGTTCAGAATTTTATGTGTTTGTAATTTTTCTCCTTTCTCCGGCTTCCTCTGCACGGCTGCAGGTTCTCATTTTCCTTAATATTANAATAATCTAGTTAATTATCTAGTTAATTATCTAGTTAATAATCTAGATGCAAGAAACCTGAATGAAGGGACTCACAGTGTAGATCTGAATTGTATTGGTTGGTAACTGATAAGGTTTAAGATTCCCTAATCAGAGGATAGATAGATACTGTTTTATATATAAATAAAATATATATATATATATATATATATTATAATAACAGAGATTCACCTGAGAAATATAAATATACATATACTGAACTCACTAAAGATTGGATTAGAATGTATATATATATAATATGATCACGGTCTAAATAAGGAATGCATTCTAAATCCTATACCCATTACCCAACCTCTACCCACACTCCCCTCACCCAGTCCCTTCCACCTCAACCTGTTCCCCCTTCGAAACTTTTTCATAAATAAATCTATCTATCTATCGTTCTCAATCAAGAGCACAAAGAATGTAACAGGTATGGAACGATTTATATAAGAACGAAAAAGGAACAATCGTTCCTCGGGAACGATTGTTCTTTTAAGAGAACAAACGGAATTGCCAAGAACGATCCCATCGTTCTGAAAAAAGAATGTACACATTTAACACGTGGTCTTAAAAATATTGAAACGATTATTAAAAGAACAAATGTGGAACGGACGGAAATTGCTTAAAAAACGTTAAAATCAGGAACTCGTCCTTATTATCAGGAATGCGTTCTAAGTCGGGAACACATTTTAGATAAGGAACATTCAGGGGCGTACGAGGGGGGGGGGGGCTGGGTGAAAATTTGATTTGTTGATAAATTCCTTGGATTCTTGATTTTGGAGGCAGTACTTTTAAAGCATTTTATTTTTAATCATTTTGTAAATTTATTTTTTCATTTCTTCAAATTTCAAAAACCTATAAAGGAGTTTAATCAATGTAGAATCAATTGAGTAATTTTATAAACTTACTGCAGACATAATTTCAATTCTGATTCACAACAATTCCCTTCAAAGCTTTGTCTGCATTAAATATCCATGTTTCCCATTTTGAAAACTGATTATTTTCATTTGTGGTTTCTCTACAAAAGTGACTCGTGCATTTCAGTTGGTTCAAAACGATGGAGAAATGAAGGTACATCGGACATGCCACTCTATAAAAGGAGGGTAACTTGAAATTACTCAGGTAAACAATTTAAGTATAATTACATCATATAATAAAAAACTTTTAAATCTCACTTTTGTCCTTAACTTAAAAAACTATTACAATAGCTTATTATTTAAAAATAAAGTGAATAAAAATGTAAGAATTTCTGCATACACAGAACGCGCCACCTCTGTATTAGCATAGACACCACCTGGCGGCCAAATGCGGCAGCTTTGATTTCTCAATTACGTAAAAACTTGCAGTTTCTGTTTTTTATATAAATTCAAGAATTTTCGCATTGAATATACACTTATCATGTTAATTTGATTAAAACATGAACAGAAAAAAACAAATTGGTAATTAAATAAGATTTATTGATTATATTAGCTGTACAAATTAGCATTTAACATTTAAACAATTCGCCTCCTTCTCCCTCCCTCCCTCCCTCCCTCACTAGTACCTGTGATTCACATGAGTTTTTTAAAACTTGTTTTTCAAGATTCTCTGGTTTCGTACCTACCATAAGCTCTCTTGCTTTGTATAAATTCATCATTGAGTTTAGTGTTGGTTTACCGGTTCCTTGAACAGAACATAGGTTTCTACGATGTTTGAAATTTTTCTAATTTTAACTCTTTTTTCTCTTGCGCTTGGACAAGAATGTGCAGATTTTGAAAACTCAGGTGAATCTAAAAGAGGGTGGTGCGCGATTCACAATGATACCCTTTAATAAACCCTTTATCCAACCAATAATGTATACATCTATAGATGCCTTCGGTTTTCTAATTAAAAAAGAATTTGGGTCCAACAATTTCCTCCATTGCATCTTTAGCATCAATCCTATAGTCATTTTTATAGAGAAGCCATTATTGAAAATAATCAATTTTAAGAGAGATAAACATGGACGTCTCCTTCCTTCGGAGTCAAACCTTATAGAAACTCAACGTATGGACCCGCTACGTATAGCAACATGGTGTATTTTCCGGGAGAACATTTTTTATATTTTTGAGAAACTAAATAATCAGTGTAAAGTAGATGTAATTTTCATAAAATGCTTTCATTTAAATGGTAAAACGGAATTTTATGAAATCATACTAGCATTACTGGATAACTTTTTTTTTATACTTTTAAGAAATTTTTTTCTAAAAATAAAACTGTAGATAGCACTTTTATGAATTAATTTTTTACTCGTAACACGCAATTTTATGTATAACCATATAATCATTAATTTATGTTGTCAGTACATAATAAAATCTGGGGGACCTTAAGGACAATAGAGAGCAGTACAAATGTACATATTAAACATTAAAGTCTAGGGTATGTTAAAAAAATAGAAATTATGATAATGATAGTGATAAGCTATACAATGTTTTACAAAAACGTTTAATTTCTCAAAAATATAAAAAATGTTCGCCCGGAAAATACGCCTTGTTGCTATACGTAGCTGTTTCTATACGTTGGATTTCTATAAGGTTTGACTCCATCTCCTTCATCCTCATGATTAGGCAATTCTGGGTTCGGTGAATCGTATCTACGCTCCCTTGATGCCGTAATTTAAAATTTTAAACGGTATTTTGGTCTTTTCTTGATTTAAAATTTATTTAAATTAATTAAATAATCTAAAATGTAAAAATCAATCAATCAATTCTAAATTATTATTCTAAATCAAATCAAAATTATTCTTAAACTATATTGAGGCCTGGGATAATTTACTCATTGATTTCAGTGAACCTAGATATATTTTATAGTCTTACTCACAACGGTATTCTGTCAATATCTGTCCATGAGCAAACATAGATAATATTGAAAATATGTATAATCCCAATTGCGGTGTCTCTCAATCTGAGCGACGAAGAAATTGAAACTTGTATCTCTGTTCAATATGAAAAAAAATTTTAAAAATTTAAACGCTATATTTGAAATATAAAAATTACAGTTTGAAAAAAGGTTGCAATGCCCTTAATGATCAACTCGTAATCGAAATTACATTCTTTATTAAAAAAAGGTCGATGAAAGTTATTTTTCAGATTTTGATATTAAACTTTTTTAGGATTTTTTTGCGTTGATTCTCGTCTTTGTATAGAGGTAAGAGGAAACTATAATTATTAATAATTAAGATTTTTAAATGTTGCTTTCGATTCACTCATCTTCAAGATCTTCGTACTCCACAAAACTTATTTTTTCCGTTTTTTCATTGATGGATCTCCATTTATCATAGTTATTCAGATAGATGAAGATTGTAGGGGGATCATTGTAATTTGGGCTTCATGGTAGAGGATCATTGTAATTTGGGCTTCATGGTAGAGGATCATTGTAATTTGGGCTTCATGGTAGAGGATCATTGTAAATTAAGTTTTCTTTCAAAATGTTCGATATCCTCTTAATGGGTGATCCCTTTACCTAAACAAGTTAAGAAGTTGAAATTGAAATGCATACAAATATATTCCTACATTAATCTTGATTAAACTTAAAAATAATGATTTCTGACAGTGAAATTTTGCAGATAAGTGATTACAAAACCGGTTTTAGAACTCTTAACACTTTTTCTATCCATGAGTATAAAAACAAGGTTAATCACAAAAAATGAAAGTTAATATAGAAGAAATATATATAATAAATAGTTAAAGTAGGAAAAAACTAAAAAAATGAGACATAATACAACCTAAGGTCTCTTGAGCGTTTTCAGCAATAGCTTGTAAATATTAATAATAAGGGTATTACCATCTTGCATTTATAATAAACATAACTGACAAGTTGCAAGTAAAATTTGTAAAGTCGTCTCTGAAATCTCATCCCTTGAGGGCAACTAGGGCAACCTCACAAAATTAGACATGCTATTGCAAATTACAAAGGTACAACATGAGTCAAAATCCATGGATTTTTTTTAAAGAAATGCTAACAAACATGGGATTCAATTAAGAGCCTTAGATTTTAAAATCCTCGTTGAGTTTTGAATTTCTTCTTTATTTTTTAGAAATTTCATTATAGGAGATACTAAAGAATGTCAAGCAGATCGATTTAAAAGCCGAGTTTTTTTTACCACGACTTTTTATGCATTTAAACTTCTCGATTTTAGGTTATATTTGTTAAATAAATTTTGAAAGTTAAATAATACTAAAAAAATTAGAAAATATTACCAGACAAAAATCGCTGCATCTTATTGGCTCCTCAATTTACCATGGAGTTACAGAGCTGCTCTCTCTTATTTTGTTGGCTCCTCAGTTTACCATGGAGTTACAGAGCTGCTCTCTCTTATTCTATTGGCTCCTCAATTTACCATGGAGTTACAGAGCTGCTCTCTCTTATTTTGTTGGAAAACGAGAGAAGAACGAGATTTTAACATTTGAAGAACTTATTCACTTTGAACTCCAAGATTCATTTCTGGTTTTTGGAGTACGCAATCCGTTGGGCAATAATACATTAGATCAATTTAGGTCAAAACAAATATTTGGTGTCTTTTAAATCTCAATCAAACTAATTTGGAAAAAAAAACGCCGAATAATAAGTAAAACAGGGCTCAAATTTTAGAAATTATATTTTTTTTTTAATTTAAATTTGTTTAGGGAAATATTGATCAATCTGGACAAAATGTACTTTCCGTGAGGTAATAGTTAAACATTGCCAAAACATCCCAATTATGTACACGGTCGCCCACAAATATGAGACTGAACGTATTGTAATCAATCCTTTTTATGAAATTATTCCGAATTGGACAGTTTCAAGAGAGCAAACAAAAATTCAACCTTCAGATTTCATATTCAAAAGTTTAAGGTTGTCATTAAATTCTCATCCTTTGTGGGTAACTTTGAGTTAGTTTCGAATGAAAATACAAATATAAATAAATTGCTAGCAGTCACAACCGAACGCTAAATATTAAAATTTAAATATTGTTTTTATTTAAAAAACTCATTTTTTAAATTTTATTTTTCTTATTTTTTTAAGACAAGCTGAAGAACCTTCCCTACCATCCCCAGAAACCAGAAGGTACTTTTTGGTTCTATCAACATATCTATCTGTCTATCCGTCTATCTTTCTATCAATCTATCTATTTATCTATCTCTCTTTCTATATATTTATCTATCAATCTTTCTGTCTATAACTATCTTTATATTAATATCATAATTATTTTTTCTTTTTGTATTATTTCTTCTATTTTTCTGTATATCTGTCTGTAATTCTATTTATCTATCTGTACCCCGATGATCATTGTCCTTTGATGACCTTTCTGAGTAACAAAAAGAAATATATAAAATCTCTGAATAATATTTCTACATAAATCCTTCAGACTCTTTATATAGAGAGAAACTGCAGTTTTCAAATAAACGCGCAATAATATCTCCAACGTGTTTGTATAGACGACAGTTTAAAGGAAAACCTTTATTTATTGGTCATGTAAGTGTAACTCTTTATAGGGTCATTTTAAACCTTATTCTTTTAATTATTAAATAATATTTAAAGTAACTCTGTATATAGGATCATTTTAAACCTTATTCTTTTAATTATTAAATATTTTTTTTAGTCAAGCTTTGCGATCAAGATGTCCAGAAGTATCTGAGACCTGTTGTTATTATGGTGAAGGATTAGGATTGCAATATTTTAAAACAGAGCAACCAGCCTCAAGATCTTCATGCGGTGATTTTTAATATTATAAGGGACTGTTCACATTATTTTAGATGGGTAATCACCTATTCTAGTCATTTTCTTCATTGCTCCTGCTGTAGAACTGGTTTCTCGAAATGCCTGAGCTAATGATTTGAAGATACAGGATTATATACAAAGAATGAGACTTCAGAGACGATTGCACGGAATTCATTTGCAGTCTTTTATTAGGTTCATGGTTCTCTACAGCTGTAAACTTGGTTCTTTTTTTCCAAACCAAATATTATGTCATTAAACGAGTCTTTTATTAGGTTCATGGTTCTCTAAAGCCGTAAACTTGGTTCTTTTTTTCCAAACCAAATATTATGTCATTAAACGACTGTATCCATGGTAGTAACATATATTCAACCTCTAGCACTCTAAACTCAGGTTCATTTCAACCACCGGGCAGACTTTTAAGGAGTTAGAGCAAGCGTCACACAAGGACCATCCTTTCTAAGGAGATTTATGTATTTATGTATTTAATATATAAATATTTTTGGACAGCTTAGGTCGCCATTGAAGTCTCATCCTATTACCCTGTATGTGGGTCACCCTGTGAAAATAATATTTTATTAATGATAATAATACTATGGGAGGTTGATAAGTTTATAAATGAAACAATTATGTTGTCCAGAGCTGCAGCTGAACTTTTGTGTTATATTCTCATAAACCCGATATCAATATTGGGCAATTTTAATGTCAGGATCACTGCCTAATCTCTTCGTTAAAATCTGCTTTCCATGGTACAATTACACTGCGGATATCGGATAATGATTGAACTGATCTACAGATTAACAATTAAGATCGATATCCTCAATACAAGAGTTCCCAGCTCGGAGTATTTAAAATTTTGTTAATTTTTCAGATTGATTAAAATTTTAGCATTTACGTCATAAATAGCTAATTTGAGGAATGATATAATTTTGTTGTCAAAATAGTATTTTTTTGGCAGGTCAGCATAATGAAGGTGGAGTTGAAGGATTTGTGAGCAATGAAAGAAAAAAACTTGGATTCGGGGAGTTCCCCCATATCTGCGTTATATTGTCAAGGTATCAATTTTTAAGACAGCTGTCAACTTTAAAGTGTCGCAACGCCTTGGGCTTTGATTTTACCGCTCTAACTCACTTATGCTTTTGTGTAGCCCTTTACATGTACATTTTAGCAACATAAAGCACTTGTTGTTAACTTTGGTGTTTAAGAAGTAATTGGCAAAATTCTCATAGATTTTCGCTTGAGAATTAGAGACCTTAAAATCACAGGGAGCAATTTAGTATTAGATATTGAGACGATATTAAAGTGTCTTAAAACTTTATATCCTATGATTAAAAGATTCAAACCCGATATCTGATTGATTTCTGCAATTCAAAAAAAAAGTTTTCTTTTGAGTTTTAACATATTAAAGTTTCTAAAAATAATGTTGTAAAGCGCAGATACCATTATGAGACACTGGCCTTATTCTTCCTAAATTTTACTTTTAGATTAATAGTTGACGGCAAGCGTAAAAAGCAGTATGAAGGAGCAGCCTCATTAATCTCACCCAGGGTTCTTCTTACAGCAGCTCATATTGTAGACGGTAACTAGTTAGTATACTTAGTTTGTTGGTCAGTTATTCAGTTGTTTAGTTAGTCAGCTATTGTTTGTTAGTTAGTCATTTAGTCAGTTAGTCAATTACTCAGTTATTCTTTTAGTCAGTTAGTCGTTTGTCTGTTAGTCATTTAGTAAGTTAGACAGTTAGTCAGTTAGTCAGTTGTGAATTGGACATGACACTCTACGAATAGAGAGTCACTTGAAATTACGTCTACAGTCCCATTAAATTCTTTTATTTCCTTCAGACTTTGGTGATGATGAACTTGAAATCAGGTGTGGGGAGTGGGATAGTTCAACCAGGGATGAACCACTTCAACATCAAACCAGGTTTATTTCTATATTTCACATTTTTATAATTAGGGAAATATAGGATATCTCAAATATAGTGCTTTGGGAAATATTCTATAGCTTATGAAATATTGTACTGTAACGTACTGGAAACGCATTTACTTGCACCAGCCCATCAAGTGTATCCAGCGCATTTTCTGCAACAAATAAAGGATGGCTAAATACACGTGCCTGCTTTCTTATATATCTGAACAATTCCTTTAACTAGATCTTGTTTAGAGCAATCCATTTAATCCCTTCAATGCTATCTTGTTTAGAGCAATCCATTTAATCCCTTCAATGCTATCTTATTTAGATCAATTCCTTGAATCCCTTTGTTTCTATCTGGCTTTGAGCAATTCCTTTAATCCCTTCAATTCTATCTTCTTAAGAGCAATTCCTTTAATTCTGTCTAGTTTAGAAAATTCTCTTTATTTCCTTTAATTCTATCTTGTTTAGAGCGATCTCTTTATCCCTTTAATTCTATCTTGTATAGAGCAATCCCTTAAATTCCCTTAATTCTATATTGTTTAGAGCAATCCCTTTAATTCTATCTTATTTAGAGCAATCCCTTTAATCCCTTTAATTCTATCATGTTTAGAACACCTGAGAAGGTTCTCATCTATCCTGAAGCTAATTCTGAAAATCTTCACAACGACTTTGCTCTCATTTTTGTAAATGAAGAGTTTTCCATCTCGCAACATATATCTCCGGGTAACATTTGTTTACAGGGGTTTATTTTCTTTTACAGGGTGTCCCACGAAACATGATAGTTGATGAAAAGTTTTGAATGTCTTCTTCCATATACTCTATTAGATATTATAGACTGTTTGCAGTTTATTTATTTTAAAAATTTTTTTACTCAAATATATTTTACTTTGTAATCAATTTTATGATAATATGGCTGCCATGAAAATTTTATATTGTTCTCTTGGGGTTCAAACAACTTAACAAACTATGGAAGAAGACATTTAAAACTTTTCACAAACTGTCATGTTTCGTGATGGGACACCCTGAATTTAAAATGTTCCTTTATATTTGGATTAGACCTTATTTTAGTTTACAATTGGCTTGTTTTCAAATCATATTATAACAATTCCCTCAAAAGGGACAGTAAGCGTAATTTCAAGTGATCGCCAATACAAAAAGGGCAATATCCGATTTAATGTCGAAACCTGCTTGAATTTCTTTAAACCCAGAGCCCAGTTGAGGCAATGTTGTAGAAGTCAATACATTTTTACTAAGAACTAATATTTGCATGGTTAGTTCTCTTTTTTTTATGTAAATCTACAGAAATGTATTTAACCCAAAAATAGAAACTCGGAGAGTTTTGTTAAACTATACTCTTTTAAATTTCCGGCTACTCTTCTTTTAATTTTTTTTTGTAAATCTACGCAAATGTACAGGGTGTCCCACGAAACATGACAGTTGGTAAATTATTTGGAATGTCTTCTTCCCAATACAGTAATAAATATTAAAGGCTTTTTGCATTTTTCGTTCATATAAAATCTTTTACTAAAATATATTTTACTTTGAAATCAATTTTACTATAATATGATTACCATTAAAAATTATTATATTTCTCTTTGGTATTAACAACCTAAGTAACCATGGAAGAAGACATTTTAAATTATTCACCAACTGTCATGTTTCGTGGGACACTCTGTATATGAACTCAACACAGCTGATCCGTTACTTGTGTCCTCCTTCTGTACTAAGTAGTTTACGTTAAAAACGGTTTTCAAAAATTCGAAAGGAACTATTTATGGAAAAAGAAGAACAATAAAATGCATTTCTATAGATTTATTAGGATAAGTCCGACAACCTTGATCTGTCATAGGTTTAAAGGGTACAGTTGTGAATCATACATACCACTCAACATTTAAGGGTTCACTTGAAATTACGCTTACAGTCCCTTTAAAGTTTGGTTTTCTACTTTCGTCTCTTTTTATATGTTTTGGTTTGTTTAAAATTAAGTTTAATTTAAAATATAGCAGTGGTTTAACATATTATAGTTTATTTAGTTTTTAACATTTAGTTTCCCAGGACCATTTATTTATACAATTTAGCTTCACTGGACCATTTCTTTATACAATTTAGTTTCCCTGGACCATTTCTTTATACAATTTAGTTTCCCTGGACCATTTCTTTATACAATTTAGTTTCTCTGGACCATTTCCTTATACAATTTAGTTTTATATAAATTAGTTTCCCTGGACCATTTCTTCATACAATTTAGTTTCCCTGGACCATTTCTTTTTTTATAAACAGGATAATCAAATTACATATTTAAGGATGTATTGTATTTGCTTGTATTGCCTTGTATTGTATAGTTTTATTATTTCTCCATTAATATAAGATTTTATAAACAGGATAATCAAATTACATATTTCAGGATGTATTGTATTTGCTTGTATTGCCTTGTATTGTATAGTTTCATTATTTCTCCATTAATATAAGTTTTTACAAACAGGATAATAAAATTGATAAAGACTGCATTGGGGAGAAATTGAAGACGGATTTGCATGACGAGCAGGGTGAGGAAATGTAAACCAAACATTTATTTAATTTCATGTTGAACATCTTTTGATAAAAATTTAAGATTAATTTGCAAATAACAAAATAAATAAGGATTTTTTTCTAGCTTCTGATGATGAAAGAGAAAGAAGCGATCGAACCCTCCTTCAGGTATAGTTCATTTTCTCGTTCAAGGATAAATGGTGGTTTTTTATGCATGTAGTTGGGGCGGAGCATATAATGATGTACTTAATTACCCCTAATTTAAGATTAACTGAATTTTTATAAATCTATCAGAAAGATTTATACCAACTATGACTTGAAAGTTGAAGGTTAGACAACAGTAATGCATGATTTTTGGCTTATATACTTATTTAAATTCACTTTTAGTTTAATCTGTAGGGATTAGGGAAGCTCTGTGACTCATCCTCTGATCATATTCTTGATAGATTTTCTGAGAAATGTTATATATAAATTCAGTTTCCTTGAAGAGAGGTTAAAACTTTTGTGTTTAGATCTTTCCATTATACTCAGTATTTCTTTAAATATACTTTTAATTATTTCTGGATGAATTTACCCTGGAATTAAATTTAAATTCTTTGATTTAATATCTATTTATGCAACTGCTTAGAGTTATAATAAGTAATATTAATTAAGTAAAAATCCTGGCAAAAATATAATTTCCCAAATTATTTACAAGGCAGTTGATTATATAATTTTATTCATTTCTAAACCAAAAAACCTCGAAAAAAAAACTGTAAAATCCGCAAAATCTAGTAAGAAATCCAGAATTTAGAATTTAGACATGTAATTTGAAAAAAAATCTGGTACATTATTCCTCATAATGTCCCAAGACAATTAAGAGAAATAATATCCCAGAAGATTTTCAAATTACAGTAAACTACACGGGATATTATCTCTCAAAATGGAATAAAAGTTTACACTGTTGTTATCGAGTTTACATGTTGCTAAGCATTATCATGTTGTATTCCGGACTGAACCAGAAAAGGGTGAACAGTCCCTTAGATACAATGTGAGATCGGAGAGACCAGATTGGATCAGTACAACCCGAGCCGTAGCAGAGTAGACACAAGTCTCCTGCACAATACTGCTCAGGGTTCTGTGCTATATACAGTGCACAGACAGCATACAGAGAGAACCTTTCTGGACGAGACCCCGTAGAAGAAGATGAACCGGGTTCCTGTTATCATACTGAACCCCGCCTACATTGAGGAAGTAGAACTGGATGAAGAGGAAGTTGATCCTGCTGATATCACTCCTCTCATCAGTGGAGACACTCCTATTATCACTGTCCCAGCCTCAGAGGACGAGAACGTAGCTAAGGATGTATCAGAGGATGATGAGGAGGATGAGGATATGCAAGATATCCTGGAGAAGATGGAGAAGCTTGATACAGAGGTCAAGGAACTCCGAAAGGAGATTATAGATCTCCTGACCTCTACTCTGGAGGTCACTCGCTCCCGACAGCATACTGTTGTCCCCCAAGTTGAGGTTTGGGACACAGGGAAGGCTTGGGAGCAAGAGCACAGACTGCATCCTGACCAAACTATGAAAGAGGTCAGGGACAGGCTGTCTAATCAGGTTTGGGATCTGCTCCAGATTATGCAGGAGCGGGTTGACCAGCATACCTGTAATAGTAAAGATATAAAGTTGATAGACGGACTTAATGCTATATCAGTCATGCACGATAGGCTCGGTTACCTAACTGAGAGAGTGCTTAAACGTTAAGCTAAGAAACCTTATAAATAAAAGGGATCAAGGCTAATAATCATGTCATCAGTTATCTTTATTTAATGTTATGTATGCTTTTATGATTATGTAAATAAATGTAATAACATAGTAGAAAATGAGTTTATTACTTTGGGTGTTAACTATTGCACGTGCAAATAATTGTATAAAGGTTTACTCTGCATGATAGAGATAGCCTGAAGTATGATATTGCCAGGTTGCAAAGATAACAGCAACGCATGAGGGTTAGGTCCGAGTATTGGAAATAACCCGATCTGCAATGTTATCAGGTTGCAAAGATATTAGGTCTAATACAAGTAGAATAACTTGAAGTGTGATCTTATCAAAGTTTGCTAGTTAAGTTTGCCAATTCATTGCACATTTTGTAGTAATAAGAGAATACTACAATATAAGCGAAACGCTTTTATTATATAGATGTCAGGGGAAATTGGTCTAAAACTTACTAGAACCAGAAATCAATTACTACATTTGGGTTTCAGGGGGATACTGGTCTGAGACTGAACTGAAACTAGAAATCACATTAATTAGGGAAAACTAGGTCCGGTCAATTCATAGGATATTCCTGACCATAGTAAAATATGTCTAAGGGGTTAAACATATAAATTTAGAGGTGTAAAATTAAAATTTATTAAATGGTTTTTTAATTAACTATCTGTTTAAAGTTGTTGAATCGCATTTCTTATTTCAGATTGACACCAATCAATCCTTGGAAATGGTTTTAAAGAAGATTGAGCAGCCCTTAGGAATTCTTTAAATCAATAAATTACTAATTTGAAAATGCCAATTTTTAAACAAGAAGCAAAAATTTATTCTTAAATTAAGAATATTAAGAAATAAAGGATTTAAATAAATTTTGTCTAAAGTGGATTTTTCAACATGTGAATCTAAATTGAGGCAATCCGCACTCAGTAAATTCTTTATCCTTGATCCTTCATTTATCTGTGCAGGTATACCCCTTGATCCTTCATTCATCTGTGCAGGTATACACCTTGATCCTTCATTCATCTGTGCAGGTATACACCTTGATCCTTTATTCATCTGTGCAGGTATACACCTTGATCCTTTATTCATCTGTGCAGGTATACACCTTGATCCTTTATTCATCTGTGCAGGTATACACCTTGATCCTTTATTCATCTGTGCAGGTATACACCTTGATCCTTTATTCATCTGTGCAGGTATACACCTTGATCCTTTATTCATCTGTGCAGGTATACACCTTGATCCTTTATTCATCTGTGCAGGTATACACCTTGATCCTTTATTCATCTGTGCAGGTATACACCTTGATCCTTTATTCATCTGTGCAGGTATACACCTTGATCCTTTATTCATCTGTGCAGGTATACACCTTGATCCTTTATTCATCTGTGCAGGTATACACCTTGATCCTTTATTCATCTGTGCAGGTATNATTATAAAGGCCAGTAAAGGATTGTAAAGGTCTGGTAAAGGATTGTAACGGCCAGGTGTAGGATTGTAAAGGCCAGGTAAAGGATTGTAAAGGCCAGGTGTAGGATTGTAAAAGACAGATAAAGGATTGTGAAGGTCTGGTAAAGGATTGTAAAGGTCTGGTAAAGGATTGTAAAGGTCTGGTAAAGGATTGTAAAGGCCAGGTAAAGGATTGTAAAGGTCTGGTACAGGATTGTAAAGGCCAGATAAAGAATTGTAAAGGTCTGGTAAAGGATTGTAAAGGCCAGGTAAAGAATTGTAAAGGTCTGGTAAAGGATTGTGAAGGCCAGTTAAGGATTGTAAAGGCCAGGTAAAGAATTATAAAGGCCAGTAAAGGATTGTAAATTAATATTGATAATGAATATTACAATAGAAAACACAAAAAAGTATTATTTTTCAGGATGGACTTCTATATCAATTAGGAAACCCTATATTTAAATCTGTTAACCCCCTTTTTTTCCTAACTCAGGATTTATTGAAATGAAGGGTTCTACATTCCCTGCGCAATATTTACTAAAATAGCGTAAAATATGATCTGTAGCCGCGCTGCATCTAGCAACTAAAGATCGTATTAGTAAGTATTTTCCAGTGCCTATTCACGGTTAGGGTTTTGTTAATCGTTTTTGAAAACGATCGGAAAACGATTTTTTTCGTTTAGTTTTAGATTGTTTTCAAAAATAATAGTTTCGTTTTCAGAAAAAAAACTAACCAAAACAAGTCTCGGGAACAATTTTAAAATAAAAAACTAAAAAACTTAAACTCTGTTCATCCGGATAAAACCTTATAATGCCGAGAAAATCTGCTAGTTTACCGTAAAATAATATTTTAATTCCAAAATTTCTAATATTTATGAAAGGAGGGGGTGGGGGGGGGCATGATCTTCTGATTAACCTATGAAATAAAGGGTATATCCGCCTGAAGGTATAACTGCCTGGGGACTAGAGTGTAACAAAGCCTATCCTTCAGTGTACTCCTCTGTACCTTACGCAGGCTGCTGGATAGATCAACAGGTTAGTTAAAGGTCATTTTTCAAGCAGGTTACTTTAAAGTTAGGTTACTTTATAGATAGTTTAATTTATAGATAGGTTACTTTATAGATAGGTTACTTTATATATAGGTTACTTTATAGATAGGTTACTTTAGAGATAGGTTACTTTATAGATAGGTTACTTTATATATAGGTTACTAATTATAGATAGGTTACTTTATAATAGGTTAATTTATAGATAGGTTGCTCTATAGATATGTTACTTTATAGATAGGTTTCTTTATAGCTAGGTTACTTTATAGCTAAGTTACTTTATAGATAGGTTACTTTATAAATAGGTTACTTTATAGATAGGCTACTTTATAGATAGGTTACTTTATAGTTAGGTTCATTTATAGATAGGTTACTTTATAGATAGGTTACTTTATAGGAAGGTTACTTTACATATAGGTTACTTTATAGATAGGTTACTTTATAGAAAGGTTACTTTATAGAAAGGTTACTTTATAAATAGATTACTTTACATATAGGTTACTTTATAGATTGGTTACTTTAGAGATAGCTTACTTTACAGATAGGTTACTTTATAGATTGGTTACTTTAGAGATAGGTTACTTTATAGATAGGTTACTTTATAGATAGGTTACTTTATAGATAGTTTACTTTATAGATAGGTTACTTTATAGGAAGGTTACTTTACATATAGGTTACTTTATAGAAAGGTTACTTTATAGAAAGGTTACTTTATAGAAAGGTTACTTTATAAATAGATTACTTTACATATAGGTTACTTTATAGATTGGTTACTTTATAGATAGTTTACTTTATAGATAGGATACTTTATAGATAGGTTACTTTATAGATAGGTTACTTTATAGAAAGTTTACTTTATAGATAGGATACTTTATAGATAGGATACTTTATAGATAGGTCATTTCATAGATTATTCATTTTACAGGTGTGGCATATTCAGGTAGGTTACTTTATAGATAGGTCATTTCATAGATTATCCTGTCCCCTCCCCTCCAGTTACGGCCCCACGTGGCATGCCATGTCTTACAAAAATCGCAAAAAATATTTAAAAATGTTAAGGTGACTTGTGAACTTGGAGCTGGTGAAGACGGCGTTTCACATTTTGGATTTAAATCCTGTCCTCCAATCAGTTGTCGAAATATAAATGTTGTAAAACTTAGAGATAATTGACATCATTCAGTAAATACACATGTTTGAAAAAATGTTCTCGAAAAATTGCAAATGTAAAATATTATTAAATTAGATTTCTATTTTTGAAAAGAATTCTTTTGCATTAGGAAATTAAAAATAATTTTTTTTAGATGAACCAATGTATACACTTAAATAAGTGTATTATCCAATTAACGTTTTGTACAGTGGTAGGCGATTTTATCATTATAATGAAGACGACTTTTGATTTTACTTTTAATTTACATCAAGCTTTTTAAAAGCACGGCTACACAAAAAATGGAAACCAAGAGAACCTAGCAATTAAAAGAGCTTCTCTTTAATTATTTGTAAATTCTAACAAACAAAACTAAATAAAAAAGTCGTCTTCATTTTTTAGATATTGTTGCCTATCACCGTAAACATGGCTGTTCATGCATCTTAAATTTGCTAGCTTAAAAGAATCCAGTTTTGCTTGTAAGTTGTAACCTAAACTGTGCCTATAAAATTCAACCCACTTAATTTTACAATTTTTAAACCAATCTAAGAATGTTCCCGCATTTCTAATACGTTCACCCTTTAATATTTGAGGCTAAGAGGTCAGGAGGTTGAACAGTTATGATCAGACAAACAAATAGAAATTACTATGAAAAAACTTGGAAAACCAGCATGGCTGGAAATAAACCATAGCTGTAAAAGCCGACCCACTGAACTTAAAATTTTAAGAACAAGCAAACGAGTCTCCCAATCAATTTGAGGCAAATCGATCAGGAGGTTCATGAATTATGATCTGACATACAAACAAACAAATAAATATTACTACTGTATATTCTTTCTATATAGTAAAACAAAACCTTCATGTATATGTTCCCTCTGGCTGGCCTAACGGCTGGACCGAATGGGCTGGAATTTTTTGAAGGCACTCATGAGTAGCCTGGGGGTTACATAGGCTAAAATAATCTATTTTTTCGATATTTTTTTTAGGGGCAACACCAGGCCCTCCAGCTTGTATTCTATATAATAAAACAAGAAATTCGTATATATGTTCCCTAAAGCCGATCAAACGGTGGACACTCAATTTGTTTTTCAAAAAAAAAAATTTCAACATTTTTTCCATGGGCAAGGCGGAGCATTTCAGCTAGTATCATATTTGATACAGAATTTATTTGAAAAAAAAAAACAATCTTTATTATGTCAGATTTTTAACATTAATGTTATTTGGATTAAACATTAGTCAACTGCTCAGTTTAGTTTGTACATGGCCATCTGTTCTCTAACGTCCTCCAAGCTGACCTCTCCAAACTTATCCTAAATTAATATATATTTAAAACTAGCTCAAGTGTCCGGCCCCATGGCGTTGCCCATCAAATTTTAAACAAATCTTATTTTTTTTAAATCCGATATTTGAAACAAAATTGATTTTTGAAAGAAAAAAATTCAAATTTATTTTAGCTTACAGGGACTGTTAAGGTAAAACGAAAGGGGGTATATTTGAATCAAAGTTAAAACTTCCCCAGGTAACAATTTTGCGGAAAATCCGCGGAAATTCCCAGGAATCTTTCAGAGGAAAATCCGTTAAAAATGTCGACAGCTTTTCCCAGGAATTTCTCGTAACCCATTCCGAGGAACCAAGTCCCAGGAATTTCTTGTAACCCATTCCGAGGAAATTCTCGTAACTCTATCCAAGGAATTTCTTGTAACCAATACTAGGGAATTTCTTGTTACCAATTCTTCAGAAAAACCAAAAATTTGTAGCGAAAAGGTCTTCAGAACCAATTTCTGGGAATTTCCTGGGAACTATTCCCCAGATTTTCACAAGAGTTCCTCAGGAATATCTTGAAATATTCACTTACAAAAGTAGTGAATAACTATAACTATAACTATATTGCCCCTCCAACTTTTTAGAAGTATAACCATCTTCTTAAGTCAGAATGCTATAGTCGTTTTTGATCTTACTGAAGTTGTAATGTATTTTGTTTATTCAGACAACTGAATTGTCAAGAAAAAATTAAAAAAAAATGTTTTAAAATTTTTAAATATTTTTTTAAAAGATGGTTCTGAAGTAAATTATCATTTCTTATCAGTAAGGATGCAAAGACAAAAAGATTTAGTTTGAGCAGTGCATGAAAGAAGAGAACCTCAGACACACCTATTGGTGAAAAACGGAACTTGAAAATTCTGTGATGAAGTCCTGAGAATTTCTCAGGAATTTCCGGAGAAATTCTTAGGAATTTCTTGAGAAAAATTCCTGAGAAATTCTCAGGAATTTCTCGAAACTTATTCTCTTATCTAATTCCCCTAAAAATCCGTAAACTTGGTGACCAAGTTTTAAGAATTTCTCAGGAATTTCCGGAGAATTTCTCAGGAATTCCTTGGTGTGAAATTCCGGAGAAATTCCCAGGAATTTCTCGAAACTAATTCTTTTATTAAATTCCCCTTAAAATCCCTAAATATGGTGACCAAGTCCTAAGAATTTCTCAGGAATTTCCGGAGAATTTTTCAGGAATTTTTTTGGGTGAAATTCTGGAGAAATTCCCAGGAATTTCTTGAAACTAATTCTCTTAATAAATTCCCCTAAAAATCCGTAAACATGGTGACCAAGTCCTAAGAATTTCTCAGGAATTTCCAGAGAACATTTCTGGAGAAATTCTGAGGAATTTCTTGGGGGAAAATTCCGGAGAATTTCTCAGGAATTTCTCGAAACTGAGTCTCAAAACTGTGATCCCACAAAAATCTCTCATCTTGGGGACCAATTCTAGGGAATTTCTAGGGAATTTCTCGAGAATTTCCGAGGAATCAGTTACAGGAAATGATTCTCGAGAAATTCCTCGGAAATTCCTTAAAGAAAGTCACCACGGTTGGAGAATCTGGGGAAATTCCTCACTTTTGTTACATGGGTGGATATTAATACAATATTACGTATCCACGGTTGGAGAATCTGGGGAAATTCCTCACTTTTGTTACTTGGGTCGATATTAATACAATATTACGTATATTAGAGTTTTCGCATAAGTTAGAGTTTTCGTATAAGTCGGACTCAGTTTCATATCAATTTCTCGACACAGGGAAACCAGAAAGGACTATTTGTGGTTGTTATCAACTCCTAATGCTTCTTGGCTTTAGCCTATACCCCCTTTATTTATACTTTTACAGCCCCTTTATAAAAAACGTAAACCCGAGTAAAAAATAATGATGTGTTAAATGCAAAAAAATTATTAAACTAATAGTATTCGTCGAATATTTGGACATATAAGTCATAGATCAATTCAAATAATTGTTAGAGGTTATTAAGTACATGCTTGCTTCAATGCTTATCCACATCGAGATTAGTTAGCGCTTACATAAGTACAATGTATATAAGAAATAAGACAAAATATTAAACTTAATTCCATAAATGTTGAGATACCTTATTTTCTCTCATCATCTCATACACTCTGAAAATAAAATATTTGATGAAAATATTAAACAAAAGATATTTTTTATAAACAAATTTGAAACTATTGAAAAAAATGATAAATTAAAGGGACAGTAGGCGGAATTTCAAATGACCCTCCTTTAGTAGAGTTGAGTGTCAGATTTACCCTTTATCCCTATTTGACTGATTATAGATGTCGGATATATCCTTATCAATCTACAGAAACCCTTGTAACACTTGTTTATAAAAACCGCTTTTGACATAAATATGCAGCATTTTCGATGGAAACAAGTAACACCATGTGTACGCCAGCGTACAGTGTAAACTACTGTACGCTTGCGTACACTCTGGCTTTAAGGCAATTCAAACACTATTTCAGAGAAATACACACTGAGCTCACTGAATAAACAAAATGTTAAAGTGTAACATTGTAAATCGGACATTCTCCTCTTTGCGTGGAGGGTCACTTGAAATTACGCTTTAAGCATGTATTGTTAACTGTGATTTTAGCTTGAATAAATTTTGATGTCAGGTTATTTTCCAAAGGCATTTTCCATAGCGTCAATTTCCCAAGGGTATTTTTCCAAATGAAAACCTCCCAAATATGCGATTTCCAAAGTCTGCCAAAGCCGCAATCCTCGGCTCCTAGCCTGTTCTAGTCGCAACCCACGGCCTTCTAGCCCATCCTAGCCGCAGCTCTCGACCCCCCACTGCAGACTGCGGTGACTCAAAAGGCCTAATATAACCTTTGGAAATTGGCCGCTTGGAAAATTGCACATTTGGAAGTTACTACTTGGGAAATCGCACTCGTGATTAATACCTTTGGGAAAATACCTAACATCTAAACAATACCTTGTCATCATCAGATTATTGTAAATAATCTCCTTCTCAGCATCCTCACATGATAAACTCCTGAAATTTAAATTCCTGAAATTCAAACTCCTGAACTTCAGACTCATGAAATTCTAACTCATAAAATTCAAACTTCTGAAATTCAAACACATGAAATTCAAATTTCTTAAATTTAAACTCATGAAATTCAAACTTCTTAAATTCAAATACTGAAATTCAAATATTGAAACTCAAACTTCTTAAATTCAAACTCATGAAATTCAAACTCAGGAAATACAAACTCCTGAAATTCAAATACTGAAATTCAAACTCCTGAACTTCAGACTCATGAAATTCTAACACATAAAATTCAAACTTCTTAAATTCAAACTCATGAAATTCAAACTCTTGAACTTCAGACTCATGAAATTCTAACTTCTGAAATTCAAACTTCTGAAATTCAAACACATTCAAATTTCTTAAATTTAAACTCATGAAATACAAATTTCTTAAATTCAAGCTCATAAAATTCAAACTTCTTGAATTCAAACTCCTGATATTCAAATACTGAAATTCAAACTCCTGAAATTCAAACTCCTGAAATTCAAACTTCTTAAATTCAAACTCCTGAAATTTAAACTACTAAGATTCACTTAGGAAAGGAATTGAGTTTTTGCCGCAAACTCAGATTTTATAATTCCTATAACTTAGCAACCCGTTTTCCTAGACCTTTGATATTTCAAACTATTAATTCTGTTAGATCAAATAGTCTAAGTTTGAAATATCAAAGGATTACACCATCAGGTTGCAAAGATATAGGGGGTTAGAAAATGTAAGTTTGTTGAAAAAACTCAATTTCTTTAAGCGTAGAGAGACAATTAAATTCACATTTTAAATGCTTTAAATATTCTACAAATATTTTTAAATAGAGATATTTTATATTTATTTCAATTTCAAAGAAGTAGAAATTACTTTTTCCTAAAAATGTTTTTCTTCTATTATTCCAAAATTGTTCAATGCTGTTCTGAAAGTGATTTTTTTGGTGGGGGGGGGGGCATGATTAAAATTGTTTAAAGTAAGATCATAAATTCGTAATTTAATTTTTTGTTATAGATAACCTCATATGTGATTTTTTTGCTCCAGATGGTTGGGACAAATCCTGCAAAAAAAACATGATAAAAGTTATAAAATAAGACCGGGCCCACGTACTTAAAAGTTTTGCCAGGTAAAGACATTTATTCTGATCTATCCGACCATGTCAACGCTTTTGTAACCAAGATATAATGATTGAAATATTGTTAAGTATTTGTTTTCAGATTTTGTTTTTAATGATTAATTGGCAAAATACTAATCAATTTTTGTGAAAGAAGATAAATATTACAGTTGAAAACGATGGGTCCACATATTCCTAAAACCAGGGGTCCATATATTCCAGTTCTGATCCAAGGGGTCCATATATTCCTGATCCCAGGGGTCCATATATTCCAGTTCTGATCCCAGAGGTCCATATATTCCAGTTCTGATCCCAGGGGTCCATATATTCCTGATCCCGGGGGGTCATATATATTCCTGATCCCAGGGGTCCATATATTCCAGTTCTGATCCCAGGGGTCCATATATTCCTGATCCCTGGGGTCCATATATTCCTGATCCAAGGGTCTATATATTCCAGTTCTGATCCCAGGGGTCCATATATTCCTGATCCCAGGGGTCCATATATTCCTGATCCCAAGGGTCCATATATTCCTGATCCCAGGTGTCCATATATTCCAGTTCTGATCCCAGGGGTCCATATATTCCTGATCCCAGGTGTCCATATATTCCTGATCACAAGGGTCCATATATTCCTGATCCCAGGTGTCCATATATTCCTGATCCCAAGGGTCCATATATTCCTGATTCCAAGGGTCTATATATTCCTGGTCCCAGGGGTCCATATATTCCTGATCCCAGGGGTTCATATATTCCAGTTCTAATCCCAGGGGTCCATATATTCCTGATCCCAAGGGTCCATATATTCCTGGTCCCAGGGGTCCATATATTCCAGTTCTGATCCCAGGGGTCCATATATTCCTGATCCCTGGGGTCCAAATATTCCTGATCCCAGGGGTCCATATATTCCAGTTCTGTTTCAGGGGTCCATATATTCCTGATCCCAAGGGTTCATATATTCCAGTTCTGATCCCAAATGGGACCGAGGTTGCAACACTTACACATTTAGTATTTTCATGTTCATCTTTGTTTACTTCATGGCCAATCCTCAGACTGTCAAGGTACTCGTTGATTTGCCGCTGAAAAAGAGCCGGACGTAAATTAGCAGAATTTTGTCTGAAAGGGGGGGGGGGGCAAAACTTATTCACTTTATTAGGGGAAAGGGGTGCTAAAAGTATCAAAAAAAGTGGAAATAATTAATTGATACTTTTATGATTACAAATATGGATTGAGAAATCTACCTTGATTATTATCAGGACTCACATATTTTCAGATCCCAACCTTTTCATTGGAGATCCCAAACTTTTCATTAGAGATACCAACATTTTCATTGAAGATCCCAACCTTTTCATTTGAGATCCCAACTTTTTATTTGAGATCCAGACCTTTTAAGGGAGATCCCAACCTTTTTATCAGAGAAACCAGTTTACATTGGAGACCCCCAAATTTTCATTGGAGTCCCCATTAAAAACTCTATTAAGGTCTCCATTGAAAAACTCGGGGTCTCCAATAAGAAGCTTGTGGTCTCAAGGTCTATACGCTGAACATGATGGGGTCTATACGCTGAAAATAATAGAGTCTTCGTTGAAAAGCTTGGAGTCTTCAAAGAAAATCTGGGGTCTCTGATGAAAAGCTTGGAGTCTTCAATGAAAATCTAGCAGTCTCCGATGAGATTGGGGATCTTCGACAAAATGGGGTTTCAATAATAGTACTCCAATGAAAATGATTTCTTCCCAGACCAGACTCGGGATAGGTTAATTAATGTTCATGTGTTTTAAAAGCTGGATATGAATTTGTTACAAAGGTGTTAAAGGGACTGTGAGGGAAATTTTAAGTGACCCTACATGCAAAGATGACAATGCCCGATTCTCAACAGTTCCCATGAAATCTTTATCTGATTAATAATGTGGAAGACATCGTCGTTTTATTAGGTTTCAAAGTGTTTAATTCTGACAATTCCCATTCATACTGTACCCACAAAGCTTTTGAGGGTACAGTAGTGAATCGGTCATTGCCATCTTTGCATGGAGGTTCACTTGAAATTACGCTTACATTCCTTTTCAGAGACCCCTTTAAAATCGTGAAAGGGTTGCATAAAATATGACTTATTATCAAAACTTACCATTGGGCGTTTTGGATCCAACGGGATTAATTTAGTTTTGGGTGTAAGCTCTTGAATCATTCTTCTATAGCACCACATTGTTTTCATAAACATATATCAGAGTAGCACCACATTGTTTTCATAAACATACATCAGAGTAGACCACATTGTTTTCATAAACATATATCAGAGTAGCACCACATTGTTTTCATAAACATAAATCATGTCATCATAAACATAGCAGAGTAGCACTGCATATTAATCTTGTAAACATTTTTCAGAGTAGCACCACATTATTATCTTATCATAAACATATCAGAGTAGCACCACATAATTATTATAACATAAATCAGAGTAGCACCACATTATTATCATAAACAAATAGCAGAAGAGCACTACATTATACGTTATATACAGGGTTACTCACAAAGGATGAGACTTCAAAGACGCTAAAAGATTCTAGAACAATAGATGGCAATGTAGAATTTGCACACTTTCAGTACAGCTGTATTCTTACGTCACAAGTGTCAACAATTAGTTGTTGTGTCCAACAAAACTATTAATAACAGTGATTATTTTAGACTTAAGTACTTGTCTTTCAGTAAAATATGTTCAATTTTATTTGTTCTTAATTTACTGTTTTTACACTTTTACATTTAGTCCTTGAAAAAATGTCAATTAATGAAAGAAGATTTCGTTTTCTTTGTTATATTTGACACTTGTGTCGTCGAGTATAAATGTTCCATTTCTCTGTTGCAACCTTTTGTACTTGAGAATATGGTTTGCGAACTTTTGCGCATCTTTTCCGCATGAAATGCAACAAGTTTTGCGCGTTTTTTCGCTAATTGCGCAAAAAAGGAATCAAACAACAGAGGGTTTATTCAAAAATTTACATACAAACAAAATTATGATTATGCTACTCTGAATTGGTTACTTTTAGTTACAAAAACTTCAAATTGAAGGACAATTTTTTTTTTGCACAAAAATGTGGCGTAGCAAAAGAAAAAATTTGCACTTTCTTTCGAAATAATGGGAACCCTTTTTGAGAATCTATTTGAGTATATTTAGTCCGTTTTCTTTCAGTTCGGGTTCCTTATATGCCAAAATTGGCTTTCTGTATGCTTTATCATTAACTAAACCATAAAAATACTCAAATGAATTAAGAAACCAAAAATCAAGCTTCAAATTAGAGTTTTGGGTCGTAACTTATTTTACCGTACATTACCCTAAAATTTGTATTGGAGAAACTTGGGAGATCCACGAGAATATGATCTTATAGCTTGGTTTTGAGATTCTAAGCTGAGTGGGTCGAAACGAAAATGGTTGGAATTAACAAATTTGAATTTTGTTTAACTTCTTGCATTTTTCTGTAGAACCTTTTAAAGATCCAAAAACATTAAAAACCAACCATTAGGTAAAATATATCAGGTCGTCTTTAACGTCCTTTTAAATTTGTGGCGCTTCCTGTCGTCTTCTTCAGAAATAAGAGGAACAAACTGGCATTCATCCTCAGGACCAATTTTAAACGGTTGAACTTTTTCTTCGGATTTTGTCTTTATCTTGCTGTTCTTGATTTCCTCTTGACTTTGTTGATCCTCTGTAATAGGACCATTTGATACTTTTTTGTATGCAGCTCTTTTATTCCTCAATAATTTTAACTATTTACTAATCAATGTGGACGCCCCTCCCCTCCTTCTGGAAAAGGGCAACTACCCATTACAATAAAAAATCATTACCTAACATAACCTGGAAAATAATTTTTATAATTGTTGTGTGGTCTCCTAAAAGCCTCCATCCCGCAAATAACTTACAAACTTAGAGTTGCGGCAACGCGCTCACCTGAAGTTCTTTCGTAGCCGCACCCCTATGGCCTCCAGCAAAATGTCTTTACTTTTAAATGCTTATTATAGAGATTTGCATCATAGCATCTACTATAACCTAAACATATTAATCATATTTTTTTGGTAATATGGGTAAACAATCTTGCTTGCTGTGGCAATAGTTGTTAATTTTTTGTTAAAAACTGTGATTGATTGCGATTTCCTCCTAAAATGTAATATTTTGTACATGTCTGCTGATATTGATCTTATCTAAATATGTTTTAGAGGGTAAGGAGAAATTTGATCTTTGCCGAAACTAATGCAATTTTCAAGGGCGTATACAGAAATAAATCTAGGGGGGGGGCAAGATTT